TTTTTTAAGACAAGAGTTTAATGGTAAAACGGTGCTTCTGAATTGAATTCTGTACTGCCAGCATAGTTTACAGAAGCTCGTTTGAGCTAGAACCAGTGAAGTTTACAAAAATGTCATCATGAAATCTGTTATTTCAAGTGTTAACGTTGCTACTAAACTCACCTATCTCCCAAAATGAAGTACAGTCATGAAGGTACCAGATGCGTGCTGTTGCCCAGCACAGCCAGCCTCAGCTAAACTCTGGCTGCGTGCAGCAGCAACCATCCTGCTTTGCCGTAAGCAGCTTCCTGCACTGTCCGTATTTCTGTAAGTCACAGTCCTGAAATCCCACCCTTAAGACTTGGTAGCTGTCTTCAGAGACACAACATTCATGTCCCAACTGTGCTTCTGAAATCACATCTCCTTTATGACCATCGGTGCTTTTGGTTACCTCTCCCAACCCATTCCTCCCTCGCACTCTGAAGCAATCTCACCGTTACTCTCTGGACTCCAAACATCCTTTCTCCCTGGATTCCTTATTTCTGCTGTTTGGCTACTTGGACCTTTCATTATCAGCAATGCTGTTCCCAATAGGATGGGCAGGCTTGCTGGCCTGTCGCCATCATGTCGTTATCACGGGCAGCGATGCAGAGGAGAGTGCCCCAGAGACCTGACCAGAGCTTGACCGTGATTACGAGCTGTTCCATGGTCACCAGGCAGGGTGTGGATCTCCAGGTGGCTGCCTCTTGGCTCACAGCCTTTAGTGGCTGCAGCAGCGTTCCATCCTCTCACTCCGTGTGACGCCCCTCCAGCTGCTTTCCTAGACCTGCCCATGTGGGAGGCAGAGCGCTGTGGGTACGTGAAGCAGGTAGTTCTCTGGGCCAGGTCTGCTCTGGAGGTGCCCGTGTCCTCTGTCTGGTACTAGATGTTTCTCCCTGACTTGTTCATTCTCTTGGCACTGAAGTTCCCATCAGTTATTCCCCCAGGGTTACAGTGAAATCCCCACTGATGGGAGAGGCAGCATTTGCAAAATAATCTTCACAAGATTGAAGGCTGGCAAGTCAAGGGAGCCTGATGTGAATGTTGCATTTGGTGAGAAGTTGGTACTCACCGTGCCTTTGTCATGGGTTTGTCTCTTAGCGAAACTCTTACTGTCTTGAGAAGAACCAAGCTTTTGTTTTATCATTTCAGGTCAAGTTATTCATTATGAATTGCATTTTAACATTCAGCTTTAGGGTGTTTAAATACTGTATTGGAGATGCAAGCATGGGACATGGGAAAATAGTGAATGCATTTAGAGTATTGAGAAAGCTTTTATTTTCATTAATCTAAAACCGTATGAGTTCTGTTTTAGAAAAATGCTTGAGAATTCACCTGATAGTATTGATGGAGTAGTAATTACTGGTTGTCTGTTGAGCAGAAAAGAGAGTTAGTTAAGGTGCTTCCGGATGTTCATATTGATGAAGTTTGACTCTGTCAAGCCACAGTAAAAGAGCAAGCACAGCAGAAGAGAGCTGACAAAGATCAGCTTCTGTTGGCGGTTGGTCTCTGCTGGGCAGGAGAAGGGTCTGGGCAGTTCTGAGGCCACTGAACAATTTGCCAAGTTGCTTTTAGCTGCTTTTTGAGTTGTAAGAGGACAGCAGCTGCCACTGATGGAGTTGGTTTTGCCAGTTAAATCAGATTTTTTTGAGGTAGGAGAGAAGGAAAAAGATAAAAGCTGCTGGAAGGTGTGACAGCAGGACTCTAATACTGGTGTTTGGCACTTAGCATTGCCTAAATCTCATTCCCTCTTGTTTGATCTGATGGGAATAAGAGTCTGGCTGAGGATTATCAAGGGCTGACATTGAGTGGTTTTGGGAGCTGCTTTTAGGCTAAAGCTTCTCTCTTTCATCTGAAGGGATCTGGTTATCTCTGTCATCTTTTTCAAGGGCTTTTTCAAAGAAAGGAGACAAAGTCAGAAAGGGATAGCAGTGTTACCATCTGGATAATGGTGCCAACCCACAACTTCACCAAGAGGCGTCAGAGCTTTCTAAGTTAAGCAGGTCAATATGTTTTTTTCTATTTTCAGCTCTTGATGACTTCTAAAAACTATTTGGGCCCAACAAACTTTGGGGAGTGTATAGAGGAAAAGACAGGGACACTGCTGAGTGGAGGGGCAGAGATTCAGCAAGATGAATGGCAGTTACAGAAAACTGTCACAGGAGTTTCTTGACTGTCTTTTTAATACAAGGGCTGTTCTTTGTAGAAGGTAGCTAACATCTAACATGTTAATAACTGCTGACCAGAGCACTTGAGTGCTGACCTGTGTGAAAATGCGAGACACATCTGACTTCTGAAGGGTTTCCCCTCATCTTGATGGGAACCTTGAGCCTTCCCTGCCTGCATCTCCCACCCGCTGCTCAGCCTGCTCATCACGCGCTCTGCCCCTCATTGCCACGAGAGGCCACTTCATCTAAGCAGCACACTCACCTGCTGTCCCTTTCCCCCAGTCTCACTTCTCTTTATATCTTGGGATTTAAAACTTAAGTGCGGATGTGCCTGATCTCTCTGCAGTCCATCAGGCTGATGGCCTTTGCTGGGAGTGAGGTGAGCTGCACCCGAAGCACTTTGTGGCTGGGGGGGGTTT